TAGATTCTAGTTAGTCTTGTTGCAATCCCCCTGATGTGACTGTTTACTTTTTTGAGGTCGACAAGACTTTAGCAGATGCGTAAAGAGGGAAGGTTTTTTTCACCCAAAAAAAAAGAGGGAAGGGTTTTTGCCTTGCTAGGTTGCGGTTGACCATTATGTGGACTCACATAACAGTGTTCAAATGTTTTCTTAATCAGCATATCACTTAAAGATTCGAAGAAATTACTCAAATCTATTTTATTGAACTTGAAAATTTGTGGGAAAGGGTGGATGGTTAAAAAAGTAGGATTCCGACGTTACGACGTCAATCACATAGAAGCAAGCGACGTTGGTAGGGCTAGATATGGTTAGGCCTTCATTGCAATTAAAATTGAATCAATGGTTAATTGAATTTTTTATTATTAATTTTTAGTAATTTATTAATAATCGAACTGAAATTATTAATTTTTTGATTTTAGTTATTTTAAAAAAAAATCATTCAATTAGGTTTTAGTTTAAACAAAACAAAAACAAAAAATTAAATTTAACTAAGCAAAAATGAGTGGGAACAAGAAAGCAGAATCTAAAAAAATTTCATAAAGCATTAAGTTTTAAGAAGAATATTCAGAAAAACGGCCCCAAATTTTTGAAAATGTAGGGGATGGCTTTTTGAAAAAAGAAAACTCCAAAAATTCTATTACACCCAGCTTAATTTTGAGTTTTCAAATTTTAAACTCCAATAACTAAAACGCACCTTATTAAAGTTTAATTATAATTAAAATCTACGTGATAAAATTCAAAAGCAAGTCAAACTCAATCTGCCAGCTCTAATTAATTTGGAAAGATTGCGGCTGCGGATTTTTCCGCGCACTCTTACTTGACGAGTACCGCGTGCGCGTGCAAACTGCAAGCCGAGTAGCAGGATCACTTGGGACAGGTAGTTTTTGCTACCTCGGAGGAAATGCACAGGGAAAACCGGACGTGTATATATATATATATATATATACACATATATAAGTTGAAAGATTCTTGAAAGAATTACATCTTACCATTCTTGTGTCCTGTTTAATTAGTTTCTTCTTCAATATATTGTATTGTTGCTATTTTTGTACTTAATTCCTCTAGAATTCTGAAATTATTATATCCGTCAATAGAGCAAAGTCGATCTGCATTCACCATTTGCTTAATTTCCGTGATTCCCATGTTTCAATCACTATTCCTCAAGAAAACAATGGTTCTAGAATCAATCAAACGATTCTCACTGATCTGGTGACGAAGAAAGATGTTCAAACACTTCAGGCACTTGGGGGTGTTGATGGGGTGGCTTATTGTCTGGAAACCAACCTGGAAGGTGGGATTAATGGCAGTGCTGAGGACATTACACGCCGACAGGCTGCGTTTGGTTCCAACACGTATGGTAAGAAACAGCCCGTTAAAAGCTTTTCCTACTTCGTGGAGAAGGCTTTCAAAGATCACACTATTATGATCTTACTTGGCTGTGCAGCCCTTTCCCTTGGCATCTGCATCAAAGATCAAGGCAGCACCTTCAAAGAAAGCTGGTATACTTGCGCGAGCATTTCCCTGGCCGTCTTTGTGCTGGTTGCCTTCTCTGCCATTGGAAACTGGTGGCAGGACAGACAATTGGACAAATTATTTCGAGTGGGCAACAATATCCAAATTGATGTCATTAGGGGCTGCCAACGACAGCAAATCTCGATTTTTGATGTGGTTGTAGGAGACATTGTTTATCTGAAGATGGGGGATAAAGTTCCAGCAGATGGATTGTTCCTCGATGGCCATTCTCTGCCAGTAGATAAATCAAGCATGGCTGAAGATAGAAACCATAACGAGGTGAATTTGAGGCAAAACCCCTTCTTAGTTTCCAGTGCCAAGGTTATCAACGGGTTTGCTCGAATGCTCGTTACCTCTGTCGGAACGAACACCGCATATGGCCAAATGGTGAGTCGGCCTTTCCCCTTTAAGTCAACATAACATGTTTGTTTAAACTCCTTTTAAGTTTCCCTACATACTTTTTCAGTATTTTTAATTCATCATAACTTCAGATATATCAGACGAATTTAATCAGCAGCCACAAGAAAGAGAAGACGCCACTTCAAACGCGGGTAAGAAAGCTAGCAAGGTCGATACGAAAGAATACCGACCTGGTTATTGTGGTATTGGTGGTAGTTAGTTACTTCACCAGCAATACAGGCGATGAAGATGGAATCAAAGAATTCTATGGCAGCAAAACAAAAGCCAATGATCCACTGAATGCTATTAAAGGCATAGCTGCTGGTGCCGCTATTATCATCGGCACTGCTTCTCTAGAAAGCCTGTTGATTGGAGTTAAGCTGACTCTAACATATGCAATGAGGAGAATGTTGGTGGATAAGTTAGTGGTCCGTAAGCCCTCCGCATGTGAGGCAATGTGCTCCATCACCACTATTTGCACCAACAAAACGGGCACTCTCACGCTTAACCAGATGAAAGTGAAGAACTTTTGGCTCGGCCGAAAACCCTTGGATGAGGTTGTTGCATGTTCTTCTTCTTCAATATCTCCCCATGTTGTTGACTTGATCCTTCAAGGAGTTGCTCTGAACACAGTAGAAGGTGCTTGCAAAGGTTCTAGTAGATTAGTGGGATTTGAATTCTTTGGTAGTTCAACGGATAAGGCACTTCTTTCTTGGGCTGCCTTGGAACTGAAGATGGATATGAAGAAATTGAAGCAGAATTATTCAATCCTTCTTGTTGAAACGTTCAATTCTCATAAGAAACGGAGCGGAGTTCTGATCAAGGATAAAGATGACAACACAGACGCACTTCATGTTCACTGGAAAGGTGCAACAGAGATGATTCTATCAATGTGCTCCAGTTCCTATGATGCTTCAGGAATTATGAAAGATTTGAATGGAGAAGAAAGAATGAAATTTGAGCAAATGATTGACGAAATGGCAGCTAGCGGTCTTCGTTGCGTAGCTTTTGCCCACAAACGAGTTTCACTAGAAGAGGGAGAAGATCTAAGAGAGAAGAGAAAGCTAGAGGAAGAAAACTTGACCTTGTTAGGACTTGCGGTCATTGAGGACCCATGCCGACCAGAGGTGAAGGAAGCCATGGAACATTGCCGCTGTGCCGGTATGAAGATCAAGATGATCACAGGTGACAATGTCTCCACTGCAAGAGCCATAGCCATTAAATGTGGGATTCTCAGATCTGGTGATGAGGACAATGAAGGAGTCGTCGTGGAAGGCGAGGTATTTAGGAATTATACACTGAAGGAAAGGATGGAGAAAGTTGACAATATCTGTGTTTTGGCACGATCATCTCCTTTGGATAGACTTCTTATGGTGCAGTGCCTGAAATTGAAAGGACAAGTGGTTGCAGTCAGCAGCAAAAATGATTCATTGGCGCTTAAAGAAGCTCACGTTGGACTCTCTCTGGGGATTCAGGGAACGGAAGTCTCCAAGGAAAGCTCCGACATCATCATCTTGGATGATAATTTTGCAACCATTGCTGTGGCTTTGAAGTGGGGAAGATGCGTCTACAGCAACATCCAAAAATTCATTCAGTTCCAACTCACCATAACTGTTGCTTTTCTAGTTATCAACCTTATTGCAATTGTTTCTACTCGCGCAATTCCTTTAACGGGGCCTTAGATTTGTTGGGTGAACTTGATCATAGGGGTGTTGGGTGCTCTGGCTCTGGCTACAGAGCACCCCACCAGTGAGTTGATGGAGAAGCCATCTGTTGGCCCAATGGAGCGGCTTATTACGAACATAATGTGGAGGAATCTCCTAGCTCAAGCTCTTTATCAAATTGGAGCCCTCCTAATGCTGCAATGTAGAGGAGAACCAACCTTCGGTGTAACAGAGGCTATGGATAACATCTTGATCTTCCATACTTTCGTTCTTTGCCAAGTTTTCAACGTTTTCAATGCTAGGAAGCTTGAGAAGAAGAATGTTTTCAAGGATGTTTATAAGAACTGGAAGTTTCTTGGGATTGTTGGGATTATGATTCTTCTCCAAGTGGTCATGGTAGAGTTTCTGAGGCAGTTTGCCAATACGGAAAAGTTGAATCGGGAAGAGTTTGGCCCTACAGAAAAGTTGAATTGGGTCAACTGGAGGACTTGTGTGGCCATTGCTGCCGTCTCTTGGCCCGTTAGCACGATTGTCAAGTGCATACCGGTGCCACAACTCCGATAATAATAAGCAAATCTCAAGTGTGTAGTACCAAAAAAAAAAAAGAAAAAGGCTAATCTCAAGTAGAACACAATGTAGGATCTCAAGCTTCTAAACAGAATTTTATAACCCTTTTATAACTTTCCTCAGTTTTACTGACACTAACCATAGGGAAACATTTTCCGTAGCTTTAAAATGCTCCACGTATGGAGGCAACAACACCATTAAGCAAAAATGCACCAAATAACTGTGAAAATTGTGCATATGAACTTAATATAAGATTGTATCCAACCTAAAATCAATTGGTCATAGGTAAAGTAGCTTTTTTTATATTAAATCCACATAATTCTTTGTTATAAACTCAATGTGGAATTTTTTTACTTAACATGCCCTCTCACATGCAAATCTATTATAAATCTCAGGTCTAACTTAATACGCCTTCTTACACGCAAACTTATATTAACTTTAGGTTTTTTTAGGTCGGTTAACAAC